CCCCCCCCAATTTACGAGATGTTTTATAGTCACAAGGCATGTAGTTATACAGGAATGATTACACTAAAGCTCGGAGCAAAATAATTGAGGTCTGAGTTATGTCTTAAGTAAGAGATATTTACCCAATTGATGACTCTAATGAGTGTAAACTAGCAGAATAAAATGTTACACATTGCTTGTTAGTAGCTGAACACTGGTCTTCTCATCAAGTCTTGTTCTATACGGAAAAGCAATAGCTTATCCATCATTTTAGGAGCATCTTGATGTGAATAGATGTAAGAGGAAGAGGCAGTGCAGTTAGCTTTGACTAGCTTGCAGAATAGTGACTCTACCACTTACAGAATAACCATGGGCATGTCATTTTTCCTTACTTCACCTGTTTTTTCCAAATTTCAATGGGGACAGTGATAATTCCTTTCTTTTTAAAGCACTCTGAGTTTCCTAACATGTGCTGTCATACATGAGCAGCGCAGTGAGGAGCTTTGGATGATTCAGGGCAGCAGACCCCCCATAAACACTAATTAATATAGACACAAAACTCCCACTGAAGCTGAGCAATCACAGCTTATTGTAGAACCGATTATGGTCTAAAATTGATTCCACAATTTCAGAAGACAGTTCCTGATAAACAAGCCAGGCAGAAAAGGTGAAGTACTCTCCCATTCAGCATCTACTATATGGTACTGTATTATTGAAGTTAACAGCTATAGTTCCTAACATTGTTTTCCTGTAGTTAAGGGTAAGAAATACCAACAAGTCCCAATACTAGATAAGCTAAGCAGAAGCTAATAATTTACAGAACATGTAATCCTTCCATTGCTGTCTGTCTTCTGTTCATGCTACAGTGTGGTTACTGTCAAACTCACACTACAGCTTCTCTGCTTGCTGTTTGAGAAAGCAACAGGTTATACATTACCACACAAACAAATCACTGCCAGAGCAAAGTGACAGTATGAAATAGGCAGAGTTAAAAGCATCAATGTTATGATAGTAAACATACCATTTTTAAGAGAAAGTCTGGCCAGTATTATACAGATTTATTAAAGTACAAAGACCAATTTCTGTTCCCTGTTTATGTGGAATAACAGAGCACTGGAGGGCGGGGTTTTTTTTCTTTCTTTCTGCCCTGTACACCTGTATACTTGCAAAACAATTTGGCACCTTTAATACTAGAGTAAGGTAATTTATATAGCTTTAGGCACAGCAGAGCCCAAGCAATAAGCAGTTTGCTCCATGTAACATTGTCAGAGCTCTGCTCGGGTTGCACTGAATGAAAGTAGTGAATGCTGCTCTTCTTTATCACTTTAGGACACACATTATGAAGATAATTTCAATCAGGCAGCTTCATCCACCCTGCCACATCAGCCTGAGTCAAGGACTCCTTGAACTCTCAAGCATATTCAGTTCTTTCTTCTCTTCTGTGTGCAGAAGGCAAGTCAGCATACTTACCAGTGTTTTACTATTCTCTTTCAGGCAAGCAAGCAAAATGGGAGGTCATTAAAGAAGAGAGCTCAAGACTTCCTTCTCAAATGGAGTTTTTTTGGTGCTCGAGTGATGCATAACCTAACTCTAAACAACGCGTCAAGTTTTGGTACCTGAGCTTTGTGAAAATACTCATATTTTGTACATACATGCTAGCACTTACCATCTTTCCACCATTTCCTGAGCAGAGGAACCTGTCCTAGTCTAAAGATTCTTTGATCAAAGACACAAATGCTGAATAATGTGGTTTTCAAACTAACATTTCACAGTAAATGCTAGCAATATTTTGTTGGTGACCTGTGTTACATGTTCATTTTTAACAGGTACTTTTATTTTGAATTGCAGTTTGATACTGCTTTTCAATTTAAGTGCTAGAAGCCCTATTTGTTTTGATATGGCAATGGAAGTGTAACTGCATATCTTGGTATAGGGAACAGAAGATTTAAATTATTAATTTTACATGTGGAACAGTTTGATAAAAGATTACTGCTGTATAGAAGTTCTTGTGCATAGTATGTTTTCATAAAAGCAAAAGGAATATGGCAGATCACCACTCATTTAATTCTGGGATCAGCATACAGCCAATTCAACAGTGTCTGTGGCTTTTAAAAACTAAGGTTCACATTTCCATCTTTAGAAATGTTTACATTTTTGGGGACTCTCAGAAACAACCTTTTGTAAAATAGAAGATGGTAGAGCAAGTAAAACTCAGTTTAAATCTAATACATGATTCCCTAAGTTTAGTCATAGGTATTTTGTTATCTAGAATTCAGTGGGTATTTGAAATGGCTGTAAGAAGAAACATGTTTTTAATGTGATATATCCTTGAAATAAGGTCAAAGACTTCACCAGTTATTGTCTGGTTATTTAGCGCAAGGCAAACAGAAATAGAGCAGAGGCATTCTAGCAGACTTCAGCCTTATCTATCTCCACTGTGTGCCCTCTTCAAGTATAAAGCATGTCTCACTTTCATCAGTATTTTTCTTTGATGTAATTAGTGGTCAAATAGCCTACAGGACAGTAAACAATTGAGCTAGGTGGGCCAGTGCAAAGAGAGATTAGAGCTAGAAGTTAGGCACTATTCCTTGTTGGTCTTACCAGGTCATTTAAAGTCCACAATTATTTGTTTGTTTCCCTTGCTTCTCCTAGAATGGTGAGAGATGGTCACAAAGATAACTCAGCTACTCTCTCTCTCTCTCCTCCAACAGGTTCTTTTCATTTGATCCGCATGCTACTAGATGAGTACATCCTGCTTGCCATGGAGACACAGTTCAATAATGACAAGGAACAAGAACTCCAGAATCTACTGGACAAATACATGAAGAATTTAGGTAACTAGAGCTTGGTTCTTTTGAATGTACTCCTGTATTTTTAGAAATTGGCGTATTTGTTTAACTTTAAACAGGAGCAGGCTTACTGTCTTCTCCTGAAGGTGTAGTTGTATGCAACATTATCAAATTCAACTGAAAAGCTTGTGACCATTCAATCAACAATTCATTCCCACCTTCTTACCATAATTCACTTAATAACATTTTGTGGGAATGTGAATTCACTGGATCACTGAAATGGCCTTGGATGCAACAAACACTTGTAGGTACATCTGGGGTGCCACATGCTGAAGTGTGAAAAGAGGTATAAATAGCAGAAGGGGCAGGAATTCCTAATCCAGTTTTTCTGCCAGAACTTAAATATGTAATTACACCTTGAACTAGGAATGTATTAAATGTTACCAAAATGCAAATATCCCTTCAAGGTTGGAACATAAGTTTGGAGCCCTATTTAACATCTGGCTGAAGTGTTACTATGTGGAAAAGTGGAAGAGAAACAAAATGTATTTAAAACAGTGTCCTTAACATTTTCCATCTACCAGGCTTCTTCAAGGTTAGACAGTGTGAAGTCACATGCTCCAGGTCTTTTGTTATAAAATTAATTGAGATTGATTTGTATCAAATTCTGGTCCAAGTTAATCCCTAAAAATCCAGTGAAACTCGACTGGGTTCTGCTGAATTGTTTTTTAGTAACATTAGCACCAGTAATCAATCTTTAACTTTCTGGTTATTGTTACTCTAAATCTGCACTTTGCTGCAAGAAACTCACATGGAGTTTGTCTGACAGTAGATGTTGCACTTTTTCTTCCAATTCAGCCTTCAGGAAAAAAAATTATCCTGTGCAGCAGTTGCCTTATGCTTGGATACTTAGGTCACATACTTGAAACCATAAGGTAAAGTCATAGTTTCCACTGAAGAACAGTAGAGCTTCCAATGAGTTTATCATTAGTCTGCAGAAAACTGAAGAACTACTGAGTATAACAAATGCTTTTCTCTAGATCCCAGTATGAAAATGGAGTTTGAGTATGCTAAAATTCCCATTATTAATTCTTTAGTATGAAGTGTCATGAGCCTGATTCACTCTTAATGCAATTTACTTGACTTCATTGCTGATATTTACTTCAGGGGAATAAATATGATTCATACCTTTGCTATAATGGCTTCAGTAAGGAGCTGATACTCTGTGATGTAGATCTGTGATTGAGGAAAATGACACAAGCAGATCCACTGGGAAGATCAAGACTAGAGCAATATTTGTATTCAATGGCTACATGCAAAATATGGAGGCTTCACTGGGTTTTGAAGTAAGCAACCAAATATGAACAAATAAGGCAGCTGATATGCTGTCTATATACTATTGTTGAATTTATGTGCAATAAGCATACACATAACAGCCACCAAGAGTTTTCACTTACTCTTCCAGATGCAAGCAAAGCCACCTTTACTGCATCACCAAGCTCTTGCTTCCTAGCAAATCGTAACAAAGCTACTCCTCTGCCCAGTGACACTTCAGTCAAAAATGAATGTCTAGCAGAGCAAACCTACATGTCCTTGTCAGCTAGCCAGCCTAGCACTGCACCTTCTGGTCTGAACCCCTTCACCACAGGAGACAGTGAGAATATGCAGCAGCTGCATACAGGTATGTATCAGTTCTAGTTTCTCCTTCTCTTACCTGCTTGTTAGTCTTTCAATCCACAGTAACATGTTGCTGTAGGAGCAAAGGCCGTATGCATTTATGAAGACCTCTAGTAAATAGTGTTTCATGAGCTTACCCTCTGTGCTCATTTACAGAAGGTGGCAATTGTAAAGCCCTGTCAGTAACAGATCCTCTTAGAACAGTAAAACTATCCTATACCTATTGGCTTGATGAGGTTCTTGTGAGGAGAGAATGAACAGTAACACTTGGAACACTTGAGGCTTGTAACTGTGGAGATTTCTCACAGAATGTGGCAGTATCCAAACTGGAGAATGGAAGTGGGAAGTTTTATAGCCTGAAGCCATGAATTAAAGAACTTGTATTGTAGAGGTGGGAGCCAATGCATATCCCTTCTGAAGGTTTCAAATGGTAATGTACACTTCACTGGAGGGTTAGTTTCTTAACAGATCCTATCTACTCAGCAGTACTGAAGTATGAATGCTAATCACAACTAATGCTTATTTATTCCAGGTCAGATGGAGCTTCCTCAAAGCACTGGTCACCTGATGACTCCACCCATTTCACCAGCCATGGTCAGCCGAGGAAGTGTTATCAACCAGGGGCCAATGGCTGTGAGACCTCCAAGTGTAGGTCCAGTGTTATCCACACATTCACAGTGCTCTTCCTACTCAGAACCGCTTTATCAGACTTTGTCACAAACTAATCAGAATTACTATGGAAACAATTCCAATTACCAGGCTATGTTCAGAACTCAGGCCCATTCCACTTCAGGAGTTTACCATCACAGAGCAGAGCACAGCCGATTCAATGCTTTGAGTGAACAGCAGTTATCCAGAGACTACTTCAGCAACAGTTGTGCTGTGTCTCCATACAATGCCAGATCCCCTTCCAGCTATGGTCCCTCATCCATGTCTCAGGACACACACAATATGCAGTTTCTGAATACTGGGAGTTTCAATTTCTTGAGCAACTCAGTGTCTACGTGCCCAGGAGCAGCATATCCTGCTAACACTTCCAACGGTATTAATATATATTTTCTTTTTCCCTTCTGTTTCTCTTTCCTTGCTGGAGGAAAACACCTTTTCTCTGATTTTTTCTATGGATGATGTTTTTCAGCTCTTATTTGTACCTTCCTGTTTTCCACTTCTCTAATGACACACACAGAGATTGTAAAACAGTTTAACAAGCTTCTTAAGGATTTATTTTCCTCTGGTGAATCCTCAGATGACCTCAAATGCATCTGCTGCACCTATACTAATCTTCCTTTGGCACCACTGCCATGTCTTGAACAAAGGAAGGAAAAGCAGGATGACCTTGTGATTTAACAATCTCTTGAAAAGCCCCCAAAACATCTACTGTGAAGTAGAGCAGGCATAAGATAGCTTACCTCTGGGAACAGCATAATGGACCATTCTCGTCACAGGGTGAGAGTGGTGAAATGAAGTATCAAAATGTGTATTAGTTTGAGACTTTGGCCCTAATATTTCTCATACTTAAAATGTAAAGTTATTGCCACAATCTGCTTCAGAGATACAGTTAGCAAAACCACTTCCCTCTTCTGGAAGAAAGACACACTAGAAATGTGGTTTTTATGTGAATTTGTATATGCAGTAAGTATGAACTACCATGAAGATTTTCTTTCCATGTTTGCTTTCCTTGATTGTGAGCTTCAGAAGGGAGCACTGAACTGTGGATAGGAGTCCTCATGGTGTCTCTTATGGCAACTGATTGTAGGCTACTGTTTGATTCTGAAATTAGAATGGAAGGGCAATTCTGTACTGAAGGGATGACTGAACTGCTAGGATCTTTTTGCTCACTTGTTAGCACCCCTTTTTTGGGTCCGTCACTGCAATGTTACTAAAGTTACAAGGCTGTATGTGTACGTAAATAATCTTATTCTCAAGGGACTCAGCCAGTGACAATTACCTTCTTTCCCAGGTTATCACAGTCTCCTACCCTCCTCTTTCTCTTCAACAGTAGTTTCACTCTGCTTTTTTCCAATCTCCTGTCAATAGGATATTATGGAAACAATATAAATTATCCAGAATCTCACAGGCTTGGAACAATGGTGGATCAACATGTTTCTGTAATCAGCAGTGTAAGCAGCATTCGATCATTGCCATCATACAGTGATATACATGATCCACTGAATATCTTGGATGACAGCGGAAGAAAACACACAGACTCATATTACACGGAGTCCTCACCTTCAATTGTCTGTCGGACTCCTATGCGTAAGTATAGCCAATGACTGAGGAAGAGCTATCAACTTTGTAGCATCCTAACAAGTGCTGAGTATTAAACTATATCTCACATATATAGTAAATGAGGTGTGATATAGAGATAAAATAGCTCAGTACCTAGGATGTATTGTAACATGTGTTTTCCCTAAAATTCTGGGACAGTGGGTTTAATAACTCTACATTCCCATAAGGAGGACTGTGATCCATTGTCCATGAGTAGTGGACTAACTGGCCTGAATTGCAGAAAAGTCCATACTGGGAAACACTTTCTAACTATTAAGTGAGCTAATAACAGACTGGGCTCTTCTAAGGGCTCTTAAGGATCCTCACTGTCGAACAGATCAAATGAATCCTGGGTCAGGGATGTCTAAATACCAGCTTCCTGTGGTATAGTCCCTTCCTGTCCTGTGCTTCAACAACTGTGTGTATTAGGCAGAGCTCCCATTGATGGTGAATTTTAGGTGAAACTACCTAACCCCGAAGGGTTTGGTATATGCATTGAACAAATGGCGGCTGAGTTTGGTCTCACATTTTCAAAAGGGTTGCATGGAAGATAAAAACTAGGGCACTGTTTGTTTCTCCACAAGATTACCTCTTCCCACTACTTACCTGTTAACCTTGCACAGAAGATCAGATGTTACTTGCCCTATTAAGTCTCTGCAAGAATTCAGTGCTCAGTTCTTTAAAGGATGCTAAAGAGGGGATAAAACCCCAGCACCACCACACAGGGACTGGTGACCATCAAGTGCCTTCTGTATTCTAAGTTGATATGTGCCAGGTGGTGGCAGTGGTACCACTAGTGAATATGAACCTGAATGGTGCAAAATATGGAAAGATTAGTATAGCACAAATAAATAGCTTTGTACAGTTTTCACAGAAGGTGGCTTATATGCAAGCCATAAACTTCAAGCCCTTACCTGGATTTTTAGCAGAGTTCACTTATACGTGGGTTTTGATCTATTCCTTGATGGTGTGAGGAGCCACTGAAGAAAAGTTCTAGAAATAGAGGTAAATACAGAAGTGTTGACATTTCCATCCTTCACATGGTGTGCCTGATAGATAAGGGTTTTCATCAGATGAAATTGGATTGCATTTTTTGTTAAATTCAACAGATAGAAAACTTGCAATGATGGTAAACCTTTTTTTCCCACAGCTTCAAACATGCAAACTACATCTTCATCCCAGTGTATGTATGGAACATCTGGTCAGTTCCCTTCTCAGGAAAATCTGGAGTCCCATGGCCCACCAAGCAGAGATATGGTGTCATCTTTACCACCAATCAACACAGTCTTCATGGGAGCAGCTGCTGGAGGAACCTAACTGGAAGAGACATGTCAGTGCATTAAGCTTACTTTCCAAATGCAGACATTAAGGCTATGATGACAATCCCCTTCAGTTGGTGGAATAGAAAAGTATTACATATAGGTGTTAAAGGGGCCATTTTAGAGATATTAGCAGCCCTCTACAAAAGAAAAGTAGCTATATTCAGATTGGGTCCTGTCTGTGAATCACTCAGGATTGTTGTCAATATTACAGCTTTTCAGTCAGAAATTCAGGATGAGCCAAAAGAGCCACTGATTCTTGCAAACAAGAATAAATTGTAAAGAAATAATTACATCTATTCCTAATTTATTAAAAATGCTATTCTAGTCTTTCACTTATATCTTTTTGTATAAAAATGTTTATTTAATGCCTGTGTTGCTCATTATTTATTAGGACTACAGAGTAACTGTTTACTTTCTCTTATTTGACAGATTGTCAAATGTATGTATCCTACCTCCTATGGAAATGTTTACAAGGTCAATTTTTACTGTTTTAAATGAAACTAAACCAAATTATTAAGTTTTTTACTGTTGTGCTCTGGAAAGTCAATTTCAAATGTTTAGTACCTACTTGTGCAAGTGAAAGTCCTCAGGAAATAAATAACACATGTTGTGGGGATTTTTTTCTTTTAAAATAAACTACTTTCTCTTAAAATAAAACCAACAAAACATACAAATATCATAAGCCAGCTAATTGCAGTAGCCTGCTACTGTAGCTGGAGAACTGAAACAAACTAAACTATGCCACAAAATATCATGGGATTTCAAAATTACTTGTGATCTGAACCCAAAATTTCTACTGGTGCAAATCCACAAAAAGATGTTCATCAGCCTTTATGGGTTAAGGGCAACTGTGTATACTGAGACTAAAAGTAGTAAAGATTAAAAAATATTGCAATGCTCCAGATCAGCTATTTTAATTTAAAAAATGTTTTACAAGTGCCATGATATTCTGTATACAAACATGCATTTATATATGTTTCTGGAGAAGCCAAATGAAGAATATTCACAACAGAGGGCAGAGAAGAGAACAAGCTTGCAAAACAAGCTTCTTGCTACACATTCATGAAATGACGGGTGTTATTTTATAATCAGATTGTCCCAACATCAGATTCAGATTTGGATTTAAATCCAGTCTTCTGATGTTATTTGTTGTCCATATTTCCATTTAGTCCATCGAATATATGCTGGATATTGAGGAATTGGATAGCAGGGTATTTTTGGTGGAAGAAAATGGATTATACCATGATGAAGTTTTTATTTCTAATCCTGTATAACTTCCTTTAGAGTTTTCTATCATGAGAAGTCTGACTGCAGCAGAAAAGTAATAAGGAGCATTGACTGGGCTAGCTCATGAATAATTCCTGATATGAAGTACTTTATGCAGAAACGAGACACCATAGTTCAGTAACTGAGAAGTCGAAGACTTCAGCTCAATTGCTTCCTAATTCAGGGTGAAGTCTTGTGCTGTGTCCAAAAATGCCATAATGGTTCCAGTAAAAGTTCCCAATGATATGTAGTTGTAATACATGCTGTTCAAACAAATATTTGTTGGGTAGGGCTTTACAGCAAGTGAAGTACATACTGTAAAAGAGTTCTTTCTTCAGGATTATTCAGAACAGGATATATTTTCCCCTAAAATTGGTCCTATAAAAGTCAGGTTCCCTAGCTAAGCAGGTCACCTGTATAGTCAGTGAAGAGAGAGAGATCCCTCCCATTCCAAGTGAGATAAGATGGGGAAGGGGAGTATGAAAGTAAGGGGTATGTCACTATCCTAAAATGCTTGGCTGCCTCTGCTCATAAATGGCACAGCATAAATAACTAAGTTGGAAACTTCCAGACTGTTGAATTTACATGAGAGCAATATGTAGAATTTAGAGGAAGTAGGCAGCCATTAGCAGACAGGGTCTTAGTCCATCAGGTCCTACATAAAAAGCAGTTTGTGTTACATAGTGACTCATGTCATTTATAGGCATAATTTCCAGTCATTTTATTTTTTTCACATGAACCATTTTGTATTGTGTTTTGGTCTGGGTTTTTTTTCTTGATGTAAATTACTTTATCTACACTTTATCTGAGATAAAAACCATATATCACTAAATGCGCAGATTCTTGTGATGGCTGCAAAACACAGAGTAGCATAAAGTACCATACTGTTGTCAACAGCAAACAGCCGGTTAAAAGAAATGTCTCATGGTGCTGAAAACAAAACAACAAAACAAACCTATAATAATTGTAACTAACAAAATCAAATGAGAAATTTCCATATCATGATACATTAGTTAAGTCACATATGTGATTTGATGAATTCAGCAAGTTTTGTCTGCGGGAAATGAAATAATTCATAGCTTTTGTGGACACCCCACAGGAAGATTTTTATGTTTGGTGGTATAGCAGCATTACAGTAAATGATATGAAGAATCAGTGGAATTACTTGGTGGTCTTGTATTACCCAGTCCAGTTGCATTTTGTGGATGCATTAATATGTTGGGTTTAATATATACATATCAGAAAATCAGTAATACAAAAATTGTACATATTAAGTACAAATTAGTGAAAAAAAAAAAAAAAAAAAAAAAAAAGAGTTACTTTTTTTTTTTTCTGAGAAGGAAAGAGGGAAAACTAAATCCTTTTGATCTATCTGCCAATATCTGTGAATTTGAACTGGTGCTACAAAAGGCAAAAAGGTGGATGAACAGGCCAAATGTGTTCTACTATGTTGGATGAGCCTGCATAATAATATACCATACATAATTAACCTACATAATTAACAGTTAATTCAGGAAAACTTGCTTCTTTCTTCTTAGTGATGTCCTCAGGATGGAGCTTAAATTAGCGTTAGCTTTGGCATTAGGATTAATGTCAGGGGTTCAGCTGGTCTAGTTATGATTCCTTCAAAGTCTAGTCTTAAGAGTAGCCTTAAAGTTGATTTGGAATTTACTTTTGGAAATGAAAGAGGATGAACCCTTTAGGATAAACCCAGGTCTAGATGAAGCAAGTGAGACTAATTTGAGGTTTTAGGTGATGGACACCACATTGACAATCATATTTCTGAGGCTGGCATTGGAGAATTTAAGGTAATGGTTAGGGTTCAGGCCAACATGAAGCAATGAATCTGAACTGATTATGGATTTAAGACCTGCAAGGACCTGTGCTCATTACTGAAATTAGTAAGAGTCATTGACATAGTCATTAGCTTCAGCTAAGAGTTGGAATAAAAGACTAGGACTAAGCTGGAATAAAAAGCTAGGACTAGGTCAGTAATTGTGTAAGTCAGGATCGTGTCTAAGTAGTCATTAGCTGAAACTTTTTTGAAAGATGCATCTTTCACAGCCTAAGACAAGAATGATATCCTTAATGGAAGGACTGTAGGATCTGTAACCTCTAGAGAGATGCTGCATCAATGCTAATGATTAGACCTCAAGTAATCAACATTACTGGGATGATGAAAGATCAGGAAAGCAGGAGATCCTACCACCAATTATGCTGCTTCCATGGTCACCAGACGTTTGCAGCAATTACAAGGCTCAGCAGAATCAGGTCTCATGAGGACCTGAGCTTGCCAACAGAGACATGAATGGGCAAAACAGGAGAAAACCAAGGCCGGGATCTGAAATGGAGAGAGGCAAAATACTGTGTCCATTGCATATTTAGTGACACTAAATAACATTTCTCTACATTTTGGATTCTTTATTATTTGTACACTTTTTCCCCATTTAGCAATGGCTGCATGTTACACTGATGCATGGAGCAATGGTTACACAACTGGAAACATGTAAAAGATTATATTAGCAGCTGAACTAGGAAAATCTACTTCCCTTCCTTTTGGTTTAGTTGATTATTATCCTTGATCAAATAAAGGGCCACATGTTCATACTGCCCTTGTGCCCTCGTTGCTACAGTAAAAAGAGACATACAGTGAAATTGTACATTTAGAGTTTGATACTAGATGCTTTTTTAATTCTTGTAATATTTAATTTTCTCATATCATTTAGTTTTGTTCAGAAGCTGACTATTGATTAGTCATCAGTTTCTCATCAAGATACGTAGGGATCACTCAAAATTTAGTTAAAATGGCATGTTTTAGAAAATCTCCACTACAATAAAAATACCAACTATATGTAATACAGAGGTGGACACTAAACAGCCCTTCCTTTCTGTCTAATATGGTCTTTACCAAACTTCTTCAAAGTATCATCAGCCTTCAAAAACTAGCCCAGACATACAGCGTCCTCTAACAGCATCTTTACTTTGATTCTACATGCTTTTTTCCCACGTAGGTGTGCCATCCACTGGCTGATATACTGGATCTGTTTTCCTCCACACCCAATCCACGCGGCTGTTAAGTTTCTGACAGCCCCAGCTTCCAGTTCTTGATAAGAATTTTAATTTTGGAGATCATGAGGCCAATCTCCAGGTACGCTTAAAGTAGTAGTTATCCATCTTCTGGCTCCTGATGAACTACCTTCAGTGCCCCAGATGTTACAGTTCTCTTTCAGTTCCATTTCTGAAACTACCGAAACACTTGTCATTGTATAGTTGATAGTGTGGGTAATTTTTAAAGAATTTTAAAAAAGAATAGAAAAAGTGACGTACAATATTAAGTTACTCTAAAATCAAAGGTATATTTCATCCTAAATGAAAGGTATGTGGAAAAATCCAGGGAAATTAATTTTTTAAATGTTAAAATATTGAGGATGAGACTGAAATGGACTCAGGCCATTGTATTGGGGATATAACACTTTGCTTAAATAAATAAATATGAACCAAGACACAGATTTGATATTGAGCTATTCCAGCTGATTATGGTGTTTGCTCATTTGGAATAAAATCAAATCCCTGAACCTGCTCCAAAGTTTACAGGAAGTTGAACAGTGCCATCAGAAGAAACTGAAGACATCTATATAAATCAGTTTGGTTTGTTCCTTTGCTTTGCAGAGTGGCCTTTATCTCCTGATAGATTATACAGTCCATCCTGTGTAACTGCTGGAGTACACTCTGGTCTCACACTTGGGCCAAGCAGTTCCCTCTGCAGGAAAACAGTAAA